CCAATCAAGTCGCACTCTTTCTGTCACTTCAGCTGTAGCACGCATTCGGCACGCGTACGCCGCTTGCCAAGCGGTATGTATCCGAACGAGTATACAGCGAAGTGCAACCATAACAATACTCACTCGCCTTGTATTCATGTGAAGAATACACGTCGCTTACTCAGTATAGCTCTCCAATACATCACTTATGGGGACAGAATAAACGACTTGGTCTCCGAGCGACTTCTTCCAGCAAAAGGTAGCCTTTGAAACGACTGCGTCACGCTTCCGCTCTTAGTGCGGAAGAACATTGGTTGTCGCAAATATACATACGCCAGCACCCATATGAGACCGCGTGAAACATAAGTATACTAATCAACCTAGGTACGAATCGCGATTTAGGCGCACCAACACAAACCTATGTATCTTGGCTTCGTTTTGAGCCCTTGCACACCTTCGGACACGAGATATTGACGAAGTGGTGAGCCTCTGGAAAACTTACCTCGGTGGATGACCAACTTTTTCATATTTTTTTTATTGCAGTGTCTGAGGCAGAATCGCCCGTAGAATCGCGTGGTGCTATTCGTTTCGGCTAAAACGCAAAAGAAAGTGTCTAAAACCGCATTTGTGTGATCAAATCCGAGTGAACCCATGTGTATAATCTGAAAAAAAAGCCTAAATTTAGTGATGGACATCAGTATCATTTTGATTTAGGCGGGACATTTTGGCAAACTTACACTACAGCATCCCCAGTGTACGCAGCTTTTCGCTTCTTAGTGTTTCTCGTTTGATCTTTGTCATCCTGCCTACCGCGTTTGTCTTGGTTCTCTTTCGCGGTCACTGCCATTGCCGCTCGGTGCTCTCGACGAGCTTGTTTGGCGGCTTTAGCACTGTCCCCTTGCTGCTTACTTGGAGCTGCGTATATTGCATCTGACTGATACTCGTCTGGGACGTAAGGCCTGATAGTGCGATGCATTTGGTCGATTTTTTCTGCATTTCGCGGAGGCGGCGGCATCGTCTCCAGGTAGCTGCTGAACATGCGCGTCACCTTGTGGCGCTCGGTGAGATGGCCATCTAGCTTCCTACGCAGATCCTTCTCCACTGCAATGCTGGTGGGGCCCTTTTTGCAGATCACAACCCCCGGTTTCGTGGAATCCATTATAAATATTTGAAACTGCTGCACGCCAAGCAATTTCTTGTAGAGCTCTGTGAGTAGTGGCTTGTAGCTCTTGAAGAACCCATCGTCCCGTGAAATGTGCACAGTTTCATTGGATGAAGCGGCTTCTTTTACTTCTCGGACAATCTGACCCAAAGTCCAGCAGTCTGTGCGGGCGAGGTGCTTGCGAATATGACCAAAGCCACGGTCACATGAATTCTTAGTGTGTCCTTTCACGAAGAACTTATAATCCACGCTCTCAAAAACCTCCATGTGGGCTTGTGCTAGCAGAAACTTGATCACGTAGTTATTTTTATTCTGGCCAGAGCAGTTGTCAGCGTATATCACCAATCGTTTTTTGCCAGCAGGAACCAACACATTGTCGATAAAGTGCTGCAGCGTGGAGCTGATTTGCTCGCTTCCCTTCCCACCGACAGACTCATCGTAGATGTAGTTCGTTTGCTTGCATTCATTCTCGTAGTATATCCCAAACACACTGACAGAGACCAACGAGCAGAAGTACCATTGCGACGGCGTAGATGTGACGGACGGAGCAGTCAGATTCTGAGAGTAATCCATAACGATTACGACGTCCTTGCCCTCTGTTGTCTTTACGAGAGCCTTATCCCTGTTATATTCCTGTCTACAAATACACCAGCAAAATAATATGATATTAGTGTCCACCTTGGAAATTGCTAGTAAAACAAAATGATACTCATATCCCAGATCCAAAATTACCTCATTTCCCTAGCAGACAGTGTGTGCTTGCCCAACTCCTCCGTTTGCTCTGCGGTAGCCCCTCCACGCATTCGCGACTGGTAAATGGAACACAAGTCACACACGTTCGAACGGCCAGATCGGATGCGAATGTTGGGGCAGTGCAGCGTTAAAAGTTGCCTCATAGTAGACTTGGCTGGCTCCCGAACTCGAATCCTGATTTCCTCCACGTATGTGTGCATTTCATCATAGATCGCATCCCACGTGAACGTCGGCGGCAGCAAAGTGTACATCTCAGAGCTGTAGTACTTTTTCACTGTGCCATTCGCCGTCTTCTGCAGCCGAACACGCACTGGTACTACTTCCCCGACCTCCGCAGAGAACTCTTTAAACCACTTCACCAGCCACACGAGATCGATGACAGAAGCGTGCTTGTTCAGTGTGTTCCCGTGCGCCTTAGCTGCAATGTTTCCTTCGCGCACACGCTTCTTGTATCGCTGGATAGTCAAAGGAGTTACCCCGAGACATTTTGCAAACATGGGCCGGCAAACTCTCCCAGCCAGTGGCAGGTAGTAGTGAAATTTCTCGCGTTTTCCGTCTCCTCGGTGCCTCTCCACAGTATCCGTCTGCATGAGAACGCCCAGCATCGTGTAGAGGCTTGTCAACTTCTCTGATTTGGTCATCTGTGAGATTGAACACACGAGCCACTCAAGTTCTTGGGCTTTTCCCTGAAGACATCGGCGATCACACTTGTCGGCCTGAATTAGACCCGCCACTGTTTGTTGCAGACTCACCTCAATCAAATTGATACTTATGTCCTCCTCCTCTTCAGCTGCGTCGCTTACACCACTCTCACCAGTGCTTGCCTCCTCGTCTTCCTCTTCATCTTCATTGTCGTCACTCCAATCTTCGTCGTCACTGTCGTCAGCTTCCTCATCGCTCTCCTGTTCGTCTTCACTCCCTTCATCTGCTTCATCGCTGGCAGGCGACCCTTCCTGCTGGGGTACTGTAGCGGAGGGCAAAGCGACACGAGGAGCAGTAGGTTGAGCGATACTTGTTAGGTCGGCGGTGGCCGTGTTTGTGTGCGCCCTGGTGTCGGCTGGTTGCTTCGTGGCACGGTGGGGGCCGTGCTCTTCCGCATTGACCAGGACAGGGGGAGCAGGGGGCGGCACTGGAACAGCGACGGCAGGAGCGGGTGCCGTCGTGTTGCTTTCGGTCTCGGGGCACTGCATTCTCGAGGCTGGAGTGCGCTGTTCGGGAATGATACACCTGCTTCAAATTTCTGAAAAACTTTGACGCTTGTTTTTTCAGCTACTCGATAAAGTGCGAAAACACGTGGGCGATCTTTAGACGCGAATATCTCGATAACTCCAAATGGTTGATTAGTATCATTATGTCTCGCGCAGTCTCATATACGCAGAACATACCTTCGCAACTACTTGCGGCGCTTGACTCCGTTTATCACCTACTTTTTATATCGGAGGCTCTCCGCAAATCGTGCCCGAAGTATCAGATCTCGGACTATCCGCTTTGCCAAAATGAATAAAAATGCAATGTCACTTAAAATGGGGTTAGCCCTGATGTATTAGGAGACGTTGAAATGTATTAAGCAAAATGCGGAATGAGCAAGCGAAATGAAGCAAGCCTATGGACAAAACATAGCGTCTATCGAAAGATTTGTTTGACAGCTGCATATGGTATTATCAGCAGCTACCATGGTTGGATGATACGCATACACCCGACTTGTAGGATCATGTTCACGAACTCGTAGCGTGAACACTACAAAGGTAAATACAAAGTGTGCACTCTTCTGGATGGCACTATCAGAAGGTTTGAATAGCCAGTAGTTTAATTATGATGTGTTCTTTTTCTTTTCTTCAAATCCATACCTGGTAATTCCGTGAACACATCTAGCAAAAAATGAAAAAAAAATCAATGTGACCGTCATAATGTTTTGAAACACATCAAGTGCCTTGATCTCATTGTCAAACTTGATCTTTAGTTGTTCCGTGGGCTGTGTACTCTAAACACAGATATACTGATTGTTGCGGGATCCTAGCAATCGTGTTACTGCTCATGTCAACCATGAAACGTTATTGTGTTGGATAACGGTTCTAATGCTTACAGGATCTCGCAGTCCATTTTCATATGACATATTAAATGGGACTCATACAGTGCCCGCCAAATCATTAAGACCCCCGATTTGGCGGGACAATTCCGACAATATCTCGGCTTCTAGCCTGAGTTGAGAGCTGCTACTTTGATATGTTCGTGCCACTTGTGTTAACAGCTTAGATTTCTATGTATCTGACAGGGCTGGTATACAAATTCAAGGTTTGGACATCAGCGTCAAATTATTAAGACCACATCCTTTTTATGACGAAAAAACACTTTTATGAACAGACCTTACAAATTTCTATATTAAAAATTAGTACTTAGTCAGACCACCTTTCTTCTTGATCACCGCTAGACAGCGGCGAGGCATGGACTCTATCAGCTTCAGCAAGTAGTCTAGCTGAATGGAGTCCCATGCAGCCATGATTGCTGCCTCCAGATCAGCAACGTTTTGGTACTGGCGGCCATGTGCATACACCTTGGCCGCCATCGCCGACCAGACGTTCTCGATGGGGTTGCAGTCAGGCGAGCGAGCTGGCCAAGCCATGGTGTTGAGTTGCATCTCCTGCAAGAATTGCTTCGTTTCATGCGAGGCATGAATCGAAGCATTGTCTTGCTGAAATACAAAGTCAACACCATAGTTAGCGTGAGCAAAAGGGAGTAGATATTCAGATAACGTGTAAATATAGTCACCTGAATTCTGACGTCCACGCAAGATGGCCAGCTCACTCTTACCTGCTGCACTAAAAGCGCCCCACACCATGACGCTCCCTCCTCCATTTTGGCGACGCAGATAAGACTGTGCAGGCTGGCGCATGTCCCGCCAGTAATACTTGTATTACCACAGGGCGCCAATATATGTACACTGTACATTGTACAGTACGCATCACCACACCCTTTTGACGGGTGATTAAAATCGGTGTCGTAAATCGGTGTCAGTGACTCCGATTAAATATGTCTTCCAGGCTGGAAGACATCTTTAACCTCGAATCCAGCTGGCTCTGCGAGCACTCAGATGGAGATTGGCAGTGGCAGGAGAGCGAGGAATTGACGAATGAACTTGGCGCTTTCTCCTCGCAAATCCCGGAGTTTAGCGAGCTGACACACCCAGCCTGCCTGTCGGAATTGTCCCCTGGCCCACCTTTTCACGGAGCGCTGTCTCCACACCTCCAGACTCTGGCCCAGAGAGCTTACTGGCCATTTTACAATTCGCACGCTGAGACTCACCCTGACATTTCTCGTTCTTTGCACCATGGTCTTCTCCTCTACTACCTGTATTCTGGGTGTGGCGGCGCTCGCGTCGGCCTACCTTGCGGCTCCCGCCGCCGCTGCGGATGAACCGCTCCCCTGGGACGGCCGCGTATTCGACCTGACCGTCGACACGTTGCCGGACAAGTACCTGACGCACATCCTGACCATGCGCAACAATGGCACGGACGGAAAGGTATCGGACTACGTGTCGATCGAGAAGGACGGTCGTTCACCCGGCTACAACGGTGACACGGGCGTCATTAACATCGGCGTGGACGCGAAAGCCATTTTCAAGACGCAAAACAACTTCCGTCGCTCCGAGTTGGTGCAGAACATTGCGGCCAACACCAAGGGCACCACATTTTTTCGCACCAGCGTCATGAAGGAGGAGGCGTTCTTGAACCCTTATGCTTGGCAGATGATCTTCCCGGAGTCGCACATCTTCGAGATCCGTGTGCTAGTCCCGCTAAGATTATCTACCTGAACAACGGCACTTGGGACGCCAAGTGGGAGACTGAGTTCGTGCCGGGTACGTGGTACAACTTCGGCATCGGTATTTCGGCTGCCACGTCGGGCAACGGCTCTGTCCTCGAGTTCTACACCAGTGAAGGCGACAAGGAGCTCGCCCTTGAGGCCACCCACGACGTCGTGACCGAGTTCCCCTCGACCTACGAGTTCCATTATGGTCTTTTGACCCTGTCCGACGATGGCAGTGAACCCAAGATGAATGCCAAACAGGACATCGTGTCCTACAACGGTGTGTCGGTGGAGGCTGACGTTTCGACTTCTGCCACGGGCGATGCTGCGTCCAAGGCTTCCAAGACTACTGGATCCATTGGTGCTGAGTCCTCGTCCGATGTTTCCACGGAGACTACTGAGGCCCCGACCACGCAGAACGAGACCCCTGCCACCCAGAACGAGATTCCCGCCACCAAGACGGGCATCGTCAAGAGCTCAGATAGTGGCTGCGCCCGCAAATAAGTGCGCCTAATGTTTATGTCTGTTGTGATTTCGCTGAAGTGATACAGACAGTGACGGAGACGAGAAACGTAAAGCATCGGTCAGGAGATGGCCTTGTAAAAAGGGTTTATATCCCTCTGTTAGCTGTATCATAATGGGATAAATGTTCAATCCAAGTTTTGCAGTATTTTTGGATACAATCTAAAAAAATGACGGATAGATTTTCAATGGAAGTTATTATAGTTCATGTGATTTTACCAAGGTCACTGCAATATACTACTAGTACTTATTTGAGTATACAAGTATACAGTGTACGTGTACGTAGTACTGTACTAGTACTGTTTAATACTACGCAGTACTTCAGTAGTAGTACTACTGTAGTACTACTGCAGTACTAGTAGTACTGTACTACTGAGGGACTGGTTTCGGTCACTGACAGACTGCTGGGAAATAAAATAGCGATTTCATTTGCCAGGCATTAAACCTAGGAGGTGGCCCACCTCCGGTGGGAAACTAAACAAGAAAGTCTTCTGACTCAGCTCCGAGATTGGTAGTGATGATGAGTAGAGCAGTTTGCGAGTCGATGTGGCTCACGTTGCAAAACAAAAGACAGTAGATTTACAAGGGTTTGCATATAAGCAGTGAGAGCTCAAGTCACAACACTTGACTAAGCGTATCAGAGCTAGGTAAATGTTTTTTTTTCCCTGGTGGCAGGAACCATTATTAATAATACAACTACTGCTAGTACTGTACGAAGTAGTATTTTTGGACCATCGAATTGTTTATCCTTTTTCTGACATTTTTTTTTCCATAAGCTGGAGTTAGTTCAGAAACTAAAGATTTCGGGGAAGAGGGACCTGGTAGTGTAGTAGTCGACAATTGTCAGTTCATTTATCATTATCTAGATAAACGGATATTAATGTAATTTAAAGAAGCGTTATTATGAATGCACATATCTCAAGTAATTTGGGGTATATTAGCCCTTTTGTTCCCCATTGTAAATATTACAAAGTTCATTAAAGCGATTTTTTTGTAAAACGATGCATAGTGCCACGTCATCATTGCTTGCAGTGTGCAGTACTATTGTCCAGTCGCTGCCCAGTAGAAAAATGTATCATTCTTATGTATGATGATACATTCTTAGCTTTTATGATTAATACTACATTTAAATTTAAAAGCAATTAGTTATTTGCATAATAATTGAGCATAAAGACCGCAATAGTTTTCTAATAGCGGTTCTGATGTGAAAATCGGTTCTTACTTTAGTAAAATTAAAAACTTGAAGTAACAATCAATCCGCTATTTTTCTGAAGCACTCTTTTTTTAATGAAATATCCGTGAAAGAGTGAAACCAACTTATAATACGTGTAGCGAGTCGGGTGATACCATGTGGAATATAACAATGCAAACAATGATGACGTTGATCTGACAGCTCGATAAATCCTGCCAGAATTTCTGCCTATTGTTCATTGCCTAATTGGCTCCTGAACAGCGAAGCAAAAACCCAAAACAATGAAGTCATTATCGCTGGTGCTGTGCTACAACTCAGAGCGGAAGTCGGAGCGAGTGAGAGCGTTCTCGTACCCCCCACCCCAGGCTACGAGCGCAGGAAAAATCCGTGCAGAGATGTCCACTCTCGCACTTGTTACGATAATTGATGAGGTGAAGGGTGAGATCTACGTTGGTGTTTTTCACGAAAACAGTGAACTCGCTAAAAGTAACAAGACCAAACCATGGGGATGCCCCCCCCACCGTTTCTAAGTTACCAAAAGAAGTCATTCCGAGACCAAAGACAAATGTTATGTGATATTATAGCTTGTAATATCATACCAGATAGCTAACGATGCAGGATACGTGAAACCAGCCCAGGTCTTGTGTCTCCAGAGTTGCTAGGGCTGTTTGTAGGCGTGGTGAGGACCGGTTCGTCCACGTCCTGCTGACTTGCGAACGCGTTAAAGATCTGTTCCAATGTGGTCTGCGAGACGCTGTACTCGCGGATAGACAAGCGAGACTTGGCGTTCTCCACCAGTTCAAACACATTCGACAGTCGTAGACTATTCGCGTCTGCGGATTGGTCGTGGATCTTGAACCAGCACGAGTCGTGCTGACGCTCCAGTAGCTCAACCGACCCGAAGTTCTCTTGCAAGAACGCTAACACATTCTCGAACCGCGTCTCCGTGATCCACCACGCCGCAAAGCTATTCGCCAAGACGTATCCATCACGCTTGATCAGGTTAGCGATCGTGTGTCCTGTCGGATGAGTGTTGACGACCTTCTGCGTCCACGTCGCGTTGCCAAACAAGCGACAAGTCTCTGCTAGTTCTCCTTCTTCGATACGAGAGTCCACCGCGTCACAGTGACGCAGCACCAGTTCAGTCACGGATTCTGCAGTGGGCGTCTGTAGCTTGGCGTCAAACATGAGTCCGTCACCAAACCGGTTCTTCAAGTGCTGTACACTTGAGCTCCCCACCCACCATAATGCCGACACGAGTGCACAGCGCCTCACACTCCTCCATACTATGTGTGGTCAGCACCACCGTCGACTCCTTATTGTACGTCGAGATCTCCGAGATTACGTCCCACATAAATCGTCTCGAAACCGGGTCCATACCTGTGGATGGCTCGTCCAGGAACAAAATCCGGGGCGACCCGATCATCGCGATAGCCACAGACAACTTGCGCTTGTTGCCGCCACTCAGACTACCAGCCAGTTTGTCTTCGAACGCCGTCAAGTTCAGTTGTTCCATCTTCTCACGCACTACCAGGTCCAAGTCGGAGTTGGGGACACCTTTGATCTTCGCGAACAACTCGAGATGTTCTCGTACAGTCAGCAAGTCGATGAGTGCGTCGTTCTGCGGGCAGTAGCCGATCTGGCGTCGCACTTGCACTTGTTGCGTCAAGATGTCGTAGCCACTCAATGTGGCGTTGCCAGACGTGGGCACGATGTCACCCGTGAGCATCTTCATCGTAGTTGTCTTGCCCGCGCCATTAATGCCCAAGAAGCTGAAGCACTCGCCCTGTTTGAGACCGAATGACAACCCCTGTACTGCCACTGTGACTCCTCTTCGATAGACCTTACGGAGGTTCTGCAACTTGATGGTATCGCTATCAGCTCCTCCCATCAAGACGCGGTCGACTTCATCTCGGACATCGTCGTCGATCTCTCGGTGTTCCACTGGAATCTCGGGGTCTTTCGCCATAGCCGACTTGATCTTAGGGAACGTCATGGCGTAGTCGATACCAACAGCGATAGCGTAATACAAGACTGCGTCGACGACCAGATAGATGATCTCGTAGCCTGTATTCTCCAATGCAAATGGGTCTTTCGAGATCTCCGTGTCCGCCTCAGCTCCTCCCGTTCGAGTGATCTCGATGATAGTCAAGTTGAGAAGCCCACGACCAAGACAGAAGAGCGGGGAGAATCTCCAGATGAACTGCAGCGCTTTGTCGGCACTCTCGGTACTCTCAAACACTTGCATGACAAACGAGACGATCATAAGTGCGAGGCCGAGGATAAAGTTGATCAGGATCATGTACGTCTGAGACGACGCGGGGTCTTGGAACAGATACGACCAGCAATACGCATGTGGACAGATCGAACGCAAGTAGCAGTACAATAACCGCCAGGAACGTCGAGCTATCACACGAGACACAGGAGCTGGAGCCCGTCAGCGTAGCGAGATCGTAAGCTTGGATCAACACCAATGCGATGGCAGCAGGAACCAAGAAGACAGTGAAGTCCCATAGGTAGTTGGCTATCCAGAACGAGTTGATGCCCACTCCAGACACCAGTTGTTGGTGCTTAAGAGTTATGATCCGGTGACCGTTCTCGCACCAGCATGACGACGATAGACGCTGGGTAGTAGGCGAACGCAATCACGATGAATAGTACCGACGTGAACGAGATGTAGGCCGTAAACAGCGCCGTGTTCTCTGCAGTCAACGGGAGCGGGTGGTTGTTGACAGTCAAACTGACGTCCGAAGCTCGGATAGAAGAGTCAAGTTGTGTAGCCATTAAGCGGTACAAGGATTGGTCCATAAACGCCTTGAACACCACCGATCCATGTGTCAGTGTCGTGTTGGTCAGCACGTTGTAGCCAAACACCTTGTTGTCTTCGTCCGCGCGTATGAGATACCCACCGAACTGGTCCGAGATCCCCTTCTCAAAGGCTCGATTGTAGATTTCTTGACTCACTTTCAGCTGATACCCCGTTGCGTCGGTAGCGTTGATAGTCGGGTCGTTGTACGCGACGTCGAAGACAGTGGGCGAGTCGGTTGGATACGGCGGGTTTCCGATCTCCTCCTGGCTCAACCTCACTATCGACGCGCCAGAGTAATAGTCACTCCCCAACGCAGTGTCACACCAGCTCCCAGAGCTCTGCTCACAGTAAGACGGAGCCAAAACCTGTCCTTCTTCATCTTCTAGACCAGACAAGTTGAGTGCGATGAACGGGTCGTTATTCGTGAGACCTGCAGCCTTCAATATGGACAGCCCGAAGACCAGCCACGCTACTGGAAGCAGCAGTCCCACTACGAACAATTTCTTGTCTCTCTTGGCCATTCGAAAGCGTTTCTGGATCATTGCCACCGTTTGAGTCACGAAAATCGATCGCGACCGGGTCAGAGCTAGCGAACTCCCTGTCCGTTCCAGGCCATGATAATGTCCGTCTGCTGGCTTGTCTCCAACGATAGGGATGCTCTCTTGAGACGTCATTCCATGCTGCTTGACGCGGTTCTGTAGCGTATGTTGCTGGTCTTCGTCTGACGCCTCTGCCACCTTAATGAACACTTCCTCCATCGTCGTCACGGAGATGCCGTACGACAGAATCTGCAACTTGTTGAGGTTTTCATCCATGTGACGGAACATGGTCGGGAAGTGGGACGAGCTGTCAAGAGGCAACTGGAACGCAATCTCTGTACCCACATTACTCAGCACACGACTCGAAGGGATGTGACGAGAGACAAAGTCGATGACTTTGGCGTCGTCACAGTGTTCTTCTTTGACGATCGTCAAGTTGTAGCCGACTCCGAATTGGTTCTTGAGATACAAAGCCGAGCCGCAACAACGCAACTCTCCTTCGGCCATGATAGCGATCCGGTCGCCCAGGATATCGGCCTCGTCCATGAAGTGCGTCGTCAAGACCATCACTCGACGTTGTCGGTTGTTCATGAGGATCTCCCACGTGCTGCGTCGAGAGTACGGGTCCATCCCCGACGTAAGTTCGTCCAGGAAGACCAGCGAGCTGTCGCCTAACAGCGAAATGGCTACCGAGAGTTTACGCTTCATACCGCCAGACAGCGCACTACTGCTCGTCGTCTTCTTGTCCACTAGTCCTACTTCACGGATCTTTGCAGCCACTTCGTCGGCCAGTGTTTCGCCCGTGTAGCCTTTAATACGAGCGTAGAACTCGAGATGGTCTTGTACCGACAACTCCGGGTACAGGACGTCGTGTTGGAAACAGATGCCCAGAGACTCGCGGATCTCGTCCATGTCGTCATGGATCGAGAGACCGTGGAACGTCGCGTCACCCGCAAACGGAGGCGTGACGCCTGTGAGCATAGAGATGAGCGTCGTCTTGCCAGCACCGTTACCTGTCAGTAGACACGTGATCTGACCCGCGTACATGTTCAAATGCAGTCCTTTCACCGCTTCCTTCTCGCCTCCATGGACTGGGAACACCTTCCGAAGACCTTGAACACAGAGCGCTTCACCTGCGCGTTCCTGGTCGAGTAAATCAGCACTGACCGACTCAATATTCGGGTTCACATCCAGCTGTACACTTGACCCGTTCTCGTTCGTTATAGTCACGAACTTCCTCGACTTCCTCCAGTAGGAAGGACTTAACGGGAAGTACCATTTCTCAGGCATGCCGTACTCTTTCGGGATGACTTTCTCGAAGTATAGACCCAGTAATGTGTACAAGATCGTGTCGAATGCAAAGTACCACAGAGCAGTAGAGAAGCGGAAGTCATTGATCCGTTGCGAGGCCGTGGAGAAGGAAATCCCGACTTGAGACGTTTCTGCGGCAGACAGCGAGTTGACGCCGAAGACAAGTCCGACTGGGGATAAAATACACGCGACGTTCTTGGACGACTCGGAGGATGAATCGTTGTACGCCCCACTCACGCCGTACATGATGACGAAGAGGATAAAGCCGACGTAGACCCCGGTACGTGACTTGGAGAACATGGAGCTGATCATGAAGGCGAAACCCAGTACACTCATACTAAAGAGGAAGAAGAAGAGGAAGAGCAACACCACGTTCGTGTTGGGGAACAGCTTGGCGATCGCTGCCAGCGTCTGCAGTACACAGCTCACGAACAAGATGATGACGTACGTGAGGTACCACGAGATGACGATGCTGGACTCTTTGACGCCCAGGATCTTCATGAGCTCACGAGAACGAGTTTCTCTCTCCGACATCAAGCCAACGAGGATCTTGGAGAGTGGAAATAAGTAGGTGAGGATGAAGAAGATGGGGAAGGCGTCGGTGACGGCATCATAGAAGGAGGACGAAGCGAAAGAGTCGATGGGGAGGGGCGTCGTGAGAGACCCTAAATACGGTTGAGGAGCTTGACGCAGTGGCGTCAGCAGAACTTCACGGGTGTCATTGGCCACGTTCGAGGTAAGAGGAGACGAAGCCCCTACCAAGTTGGTGAATAAAACACCTGTAGTCTTAGTTGCAGGGTCGTTGACTACAGTCTCCAGTAGTCTCGCGTCCAGATCGTCGGTTGATACCGCAGTGATCTGACACGCTCCCGTGGTAGTTTTAGTGGTGTCATCCCAGTCCGGTAAGCAGTTGACGAACCGCGCGACGAGCGTCTGTAGCGTCATGAAGCCATTTGTTGTATACTGCTGGTAGTCTGTAGTTTCAAGCTTACGACTCACGGAATCCCACAATGAAGCCCCATCTCCATCGACTGTTTGCGGGATGTATCGATCCGTCTCACTATCGCCCACATATGTCGAGTTCAATCGCAGCGAATACTCAATAGTTGCAGGTTGGCCGATTGCTGTTGGGTAGTCCGTAAACACAATCGCCCCGAAGATTCGTGGCTGTGTCTCCGTCTTCGCGTAGTCCGAAGACTCGACGTATTGCTCCAACGCCTCTTCAGTGGCAAAGAAAACTGTACTGTCTTCAAATGATGGAATCACGAGCGAACTATTGGACGACGAGTCATTGATTACTACAGTAGGATACCACATCTTCATGGTCTCGTAGAAATAATTCCTCGTAAAGTCAGTATCCGGTGCAATGGCAACTTTATATGGCGACACGCGACCTTCACATTCGGACGGGAGAGCGTACGGAGACGACGTGTTGAGACTCACGCGACCTCCTACCGCCATTTCTCGCTCACAGATAGAGCGGTTATTAGATGTGAAGGTCTTCATGAGTCTGCCAAAGTCGAACGACTTGTACGCCAAGTGCAGCAAGAGACCGGACAGCGTAGTCTCTGGTGTGGCGAGCTTTGGAGTCGCGTAGGACCCTACCAGTGACCAGCCCGACGGATTGAAGAGATTGTAGGACGTGGTGTCTGTGGTGAACCCCGCGGGCACTGTATCGTCGCTACTGGTGGTGCGTACGAGGTCCATGACGACGATGAAGAGCACGGGCGTGAGCACCTCGAAGAGAAGCGCGACGGGGTGTTTGCGCTTGAGCAGCCAGTTCTTGCGCAACAAAGTGGGTACAAAGCGCAAGTTGGAGCGTTTGGCTGACGGTGCAGGCGCGTTGACCGTCAGAGGTTGATCCATGCCTGGATTGGGATCTTTTGCCTTGTCTTTGTTTTTTTTTTATTTTGCTGTTGCGGCTGAGCTGGCAAATTGACTGCTGGATAAAGACTGTACCCAATACCGGTGAACAGTTGCGCTTCGCAACACGCATTCTGACAGTGCGTAACGCTGTCAGCGAAGTGAAATGGATATTTATCGGGTGCTTGCCCCGTGTAATCACAGCCCGAGTAATCATGTGGTGCCTGGCACGCGTGAAGTTTCAAAGCTAAAGACTTCTGTAAATGGCCACAAGACCGGAACCTAGCGTGTATGACACAAAACGCGCTAGCACTAGACTCTAGAAGTAGATCCCTGTCAATGCGATACTGTAGCCTGTTTGCCGTCTCATAACGTTGAAAGCGTTACAGTATATGGGAAATATCTGCAGTCGACGCAGCTTTTGCCAGTCGAATGATGACTCGCACGAGAAATCATCCCCATTCAACGCCACAAATTCAATATTTTTTGTCAGAAAGTGTATGATCACACATTACACGATCGTCCCTGTCCAGTTGCTCATCCGAACAGGACACGACGTAGCAGGTCAGCGAACTGCGCTCCCGACGCCTCATCCTCACCCTTGATCGTTGCTCTCAGCGTCCGGTTCGCCTTTTCAACCAGCGTCTCAGACATAAAGAAGCGCCCTTGCGTGTCCTGGGCGTAGAAGAAAAACTTGTACTGCGGACCGACGTCACCTGAGGCCATCGTGACGATGCCACGCGATGCGAACGCCTGCTCCAGTTCGTTTTGAGGCGGCAACGTCGGTAGTTGCACCACAACTTCCGCCACCACCGACCTGCTACCCCATTGGCCCTGGAACGTTGCAGCGTCCATGACTGGCGTTGGCACCAACGCGAAGCTCGGACCTGCAGGTGGGGGCGGAGGACCACTAGAAGCCGAGCCGAAGTCCATGTCCAGCAAGTCCATACTAGGCGCTGCTGGCTGTGGCGGCGCTGTACGTTGCTGTTGAGGCGCAGGACTGTTGTCGTACTGCTCGTCGACTTCTTCTACTTCTTCTTCTTCGTCGTCTTCATCCAGAGGCGCGACGGCTGCAGCCAAATGCGTAGACGACACGAAGAGTTCACTCGGCTTGTTGTACACGACAGCGAGTGAGTTGAACTCCTGGAACAGTTTATCCTTCAGATCCGTCTCCACCGACTCGGCAAAGACACTGACCGTCTCGTCGCCGCGGAATTGAGCCACAATAGCCGCCGCCTGGTCCGTGGGCTGTTGCTCCAGTAACCGGTAGTACAGTAGAGCACGGTCACGCACATCCTGATGGTTGGACTCGTTGATCGCAGAGCCCAGCAGACGTCCCAGCATGCTCTGCATCTCCGGAGGACATTTGAAGAACAACTTCATAGTAGCAGCCAATAGCTCCAGCAGCACAGAGGAGGAGGCTTCGTCGTTAAAGTCGTCGATCAGCTTCTCCAACACGTACGGCGCACGTCGCAGATCTTGTCCAAACTCGCCCAACATCCAGACTACTGCAGCCTTCGCAGCTGGCTGCTCTACCGCAGCAATGATTCTACCTAGTACAGGTAGAACGTCGTGACGCTTGTCCGGATACTTCCGTAGCAAGTCCTTCATTACCACGAGACTCTCGTCACGCACATAGTCGAGATCCAGCTCCAAGAAGTCCACCATCGTGTCCATGATATGGTCCTGCATCTGCTCTACAAGTTGCTCAGCTGCTTGCTGGCCGTACGCTTCGGGAACGTTCCCACCGCCAGGATACTGCTGCGGGACTGTGTTAACCGAGAGATTGGGACTCACTGCGACGTCCGCAATCGCTCGGATCGCCCGACGCGCCAGCTCCTGGTCCACGTCGGTCACGTATTCGCTCAACTCGGTGACGATGTCAGCCACGTTGGCTCCGTCAGCTACCAGAGCCAGGACATCGATCTTGACGTACTTGACGTGGGTAGGCTCGTTGTATCGGTTGTAGAACTGCCGGTAGTCTCGACTAAACACGTGTGGTTTCTTGCCCACCAGCAGTAGAATGTGGTGGAGCACACAGTAGTTGATCTCGTGACTACCTCCAGCCATCAGAGTCAACAGCGGCTGTCGCATACGTTCAAAGACTTGGTCTTGGATCGGCTCCATCCCTCGACTCTGCGTCAAGTTGAAGAAACACTTGGCTGTACCCAACACTACAGCGCTGTTGGACACACGCAGACACTGCTCAAGTGTGTTCATGATAGTGAAGACCTCATCGGGCCCCGTGGGTTTGTATTTCGCGACGATCTCGAGGATGTTGCACTGTCCCCACTCGTTAAAGTCCGAAATGCGACTCAACAAATGCATGACGATGGGTTGGTTGATCGCGATGCCTCCTTCGTCCGCCATGATCTCATTGAGAGCCACGATGCAGTTGGAGACCACTTGAGGGTCACGGTCTCGTATCATGTTGTACAGGGTATCGATCATGTCGCTCTCCTTGATGATCTCTGGGTTCAGAGAATAAACTTTGAGGATACCGATGACGCCCGTCTTACGCACGTAGGCGCTGGTGTCGGTGAGAGAGGCTTGCAACGGGTCGTGGATGTACTCGAGGATCGAGTCCAGACGTAGCGAGCAGAGCGAACGCAGCGCTAAGCCTCGAACCATTGGATCTTCATTGCGACAGTCATTTAGAAGCGTGTTAATACACATAATAGCCAGCTCTGAGTTCTTCTGCGCGTAGTTAGTGAGGTAAAGATACACCATCTTCTTGGAGATGAGGTCCTTGGTGTCTACACACAACACCATCTCACTGAAGAGACGAGAGACGTCGATGCCCAGCGTCATATACGCGATGACCTTCTTGATGATCTCACGCTTGCGCTTCACATCCTTCTCCACGGTCACCTCCCGCAGTAGCTACAGTATACAACGTTAGGCTCTTGTATACATCTCGGCTATGTGGGCATGTGTACGTACGTTCTTGAGCTCGTTCACCTCGCCCTTCTTCTTGTCGGTGAAGTAGTTGGGATTGCTGCTTCCCGCGGGTCGCTGAGCGCCAGGTGCACCACCAGGAGGGGGCGGCATGCCACCGGGTGGAGGAGGGCCCTGTGAAGGGTAGGAAGGATTCATACCCCCCATGGACGGAAACATTGTCGATGAAGGAGGAATACTCGGAGTGGGCTACGCGGCGGATCCTCGATGGTGGTACTCTGAGTCACGAGGACACGACGGTATGCTATTTAGAAGGTTTCGTTTTGTTCTAAATTGATACAGCACTGTTTTACAGGACTTTATTTGAAAGGTCAAATGACATGGCCATAAAACAAAATATTACTTACGAACCATTTAGAGGGTTAGCCCTTTTAATCGAGCTTAGCTGGCCAATTTATTTTCGCACTTAACCGTAGCTGTGACATTTTGTGTAAGCTTTCTTCGAAAAACCTGTAAAGCTACCATTATATAATTGGGGCTTTTAAGTAACACTTAAAAATTTAAAAAATTAAAAAAATATTGAGCTCAGAACACTCAGCTTCTGAGTAGTCCAAATGGATTCCAAACTTCACAAGATTGACTTTGTTTTTTTTTCTCTGCGAGTCGGAGGCAACTTTTTCACACCAACTTTGTGTGAACACGGCTGAATGGAAATTTCCCGGTAAGGTCTCATGTTGTAGAACAGATATTCATTCAGCTTTGCAATTAGCTCCAATTTTTGTAAAAGGTTAGCTAGCATCAGAGTGTTTTGCGCCGTTTCATATGTTCCCTGTAGCCTGGTATTTTAGCAAGGAATGCATTTTTTCTTTGGAATAGAAGATCTTGTGCTTATTCCAAAAAAAGACTGCAGCTTATATTGTGAGAATGCCGGACTGCGCTTCGGCAGCTTTACCTTGCCGCGAAGATATTCAGCTAGAGAGATGTCGACCGTCCGCTATTATACAGCTTGTGGCAGACGGTCGACACTAATTTGTATTTTCTGAGTAGCCTACAAGATGCTTTAATGAAGGGAGGAACGCATTTGAAACAGCGTCAAACAAAATATTACTTACGAACCAAAGTACGAATCGCGATTTAAGCACTCTTAACTAAAGCGGGGCGTCTCCTATATCTCTTGAGCTCCTATAGAGCTACGGTATGCTAAAGTTGTGGCCGCCCAAAAAATATATCTTCTTTTTCGGGCCCTCGATACATTTAAGACGCTCAAGTAAAAGAGTCACTAATACTGAGCTCCTTGATCGAAAGACACTTACAGCCCACGACCAGGGGAGCAAAGATAGTACCGTAACTTTATGTTTCACAACCAGAAGTGTTTCATTAACAATTATTGCGGCCAAGCCGCCTAGGGGTAAATGTATCTGTTTAACTTTAAAGCATAGTTTAACCTAATCAAATGGATGACGTGTGGCTTTCAGCCAACGTACTATGAGTTTGTTAGCTCTCCGGGTACCTCGTATGCCTGTGTGCTCCACACCGTGTAACCCCGTTACAATAATCATGCATTTGTTGTTTTGATGTAGAACAGCCAAATTTCATGCATGCAGACCAAATGCATGTCTCTTGAAACAAGTGCGATTCCGTCGCAGACGCTACATAGATCTTTGCGCGTTAAGATTTTGAGCTACTCTGGTAATGGTTTATCTTTTTCTGCTGCTCCGGCATGTTTGACTACTGGAGAATGACACCCGTTGCGTAACGAGCGTATTGATAAATAGTCTTGGCCGCCGAGCAAGTGTCTTCATCGGGTACTTCTCCACTGCAGACGCTATCATTACCGCGAAAAGAAAGGAGAACAGAACCAATGCAAACTTAGTCATCAATTTTTTTTAACAAAGGAGCGCTCACTCAAAACATTGCAGCCATCACATCCCACTTGCCACATTTCTTTAGGAAAGTTAGAAGCATGAAAAGAACGTCCTTGGCGCTATATGCACACTTGCGATCACGTTCCGTGTTACGGCTCACGGTGACGTGGTCGCGCATCATGCTATACTACCGATCAAACTACAGTAACTTATGGCTTGTCATGTCTAATTGGCTCTCCTCGTCCGAATTCAGGCATTAGTTGTAAGCAGGTAATGGAAAGCCCGCCTCAACATCCATGCAGGCACGAGACAGAAACACCACGGTAAATCGATCAGCCTGTCAGTCTTTGCAAATGCGGCGCTGAGTCGCGACGCTCTGCAGCGGATGCTCTGGTGTAATTCTTCCCTTATGGCGAGTCTCTTCTCTGGGGTTCTGAGCGTCGACCATAGTTTAGTGTCCTTTACACAGGAAATTGAGAAGTAAGGGTGTCAATGGGCTTAAACACTAGTCTTAACGCATCGCCATAGGCAGCATCCATTGCTTGACACGTTGGCGTCTAGACTGTCTTCAATCAAATACTCGTTTATCTAATGAAGTGTCAGGGAAGTAGCACGAGCAAAATTAAATTATGTATGACATAGGTGGTTTCGTGCTGTATATTAAGACTTCACACAGTCACAAATTGTCCTGAAGCTCTACTTTAGAGAAAGCAACCCACCTAACCTCGACTACCTACTCCTACGGGGTCGCCCCTTTCGACTGTTTTGCGATATCAAAAATTCATGTATTCACCCTCACACAAGTATCAAGAAGCACATCAGAAACAAATTGCGGCGCTGGGGGCTACGTTATTGAGCACGTCGACAGTGCCTCGAAGATGTGGACGAAAGTGCTTTCGCGGTGGGCTGTCCAGCCTACCGCTACGGTGAGACGGATGCGCTTTACTCGAAAGCGAGCTCCGAACTAAGCAGCAGTGGCAAGATCACAGACTTAAGTGCTTTCCGGCCTTGGACGACGAAGGTTTCGTTTGGACATCACCGAACGAGATTGTTTGGCTACTCAGAAACAGCATCACGATCGTCTAGAGAGGTATACGACGTCGACAACGTGTGTGAGTTGACCAGTGGATCTGGATTCCCCGCGCGAGTCGTGTACTACTACCTCCGTCCCACAAGACATTTAACACTTCTCTGTTTGTGCCATTGCGCATCGCTTACGTACGCTATTAGCACGCTAAAGCTTTCATTCGAAGGCTCGTTGCGAGCGCTACAGCTACGTCTTTGCTTCGCTTAACAAGCCACCGGTGGAAGATAACATTTTCACAATTTGTGTGATTCTGGGGTGCGACGGAAAAATCTTCGCCACACTTTATGAAGTGACTTTTTTTAGTTTTGATTTCGCAGCTGGGCATTAGAAAGGCCTAATCACAAATTAAACTTCTCCACGCATCTAAACGGATCGTCCAGTAATCACAAAGGTAATATGAAAGTTCTAGCTAAAATCGAACTTTGTGGAACTTTAACGTTTCTTTAGTTCATTTTTTTACCAATCCTAAAGCTAATACTGAAAACCCACCAATTAGCTGAAGCTATTAAAATTTAACCGTCCAAACCAATGGGTTTAACACTTTAATGTTTACCACATTGGAAGGACGGAGGTATTAACTATTTTGCAAAAAAGAGCACATGCAATGGTCGAAATTGCACCCAAAAAAATATTAATGGCTATAATTAACAAGAAATATGTGTATTTTGCCGAATTAGAAATGTATCTGTCAAATCCAGAAGTGGAACGCAAATATTTGAGATAAACGTCTTCAAATTGACATAGCTTCGCGTACATGTTACATGTATTTGGCAATCCTTTATGAAGAATATCCCTTCTAGACAAAATGTGACACGGACACCAAAAAGTGAAACCTTTTTACTTCATGTTTGTATGGCGGGCCTGACTGGTGGACAGCTAAAAAGAACTATTCTGCGCATTTTTCGCATGATTGCGCAATACCAGTGGCTCTGCTGGAACCATCCAATCACAAGCTGTCGAGCGGACATTGCCGCACTCAAAATGGCCCATTACGCCCACAGTTCATTTTCTCTCTCGTGGCTGGGTCGCTCAACAAGGAAGTGCGGATTCTGCGTGCCACGGCAAGCCTCCGTAAGAGAGCTTCAGGCTACAGGAAGACCGCGAAGCGATACGACCTGGATCCAGCAGCGCTATGGCGCCGCGCTACCGAAAAACAAGTGGTTGGGTCCCGGCAGGGGGGATTTATGTGCTGTCAAGCGACGAGGAGAGAGGCGTTGTTGATATTGTCGACATCCGATCACGACGAGGACTGTGTATGAGCTTCGAAGAGATGCAGCTTCTCATACATCAAGTGGCGCGTGCTAGGGGTCGCTTACCATCACCATCCTTCCCTTATCGACGTTACATCAATCGCTTCATTGCTCGCAACTCCAAAGATATCTGCATCAAGAAGGCACATTTTTGGTGTGACCCGATACGAAGGCTCTACCGAGACTCGGAAACGGTCTTATTCAACAGCCTTGAGGAATTGATCAGCAACCTGTCACACAGTCGAATTTGAAATTGCGACGAAACTGGGTTTTCGCCGCAAGGTCGAGCAACAGCACATGCTATTTGCGTCCGCGGCAAGGCCGCCAATGTTGTCAAGTCATCAGACCTTGAAAACGTAAGCATGATGGATTATATTGCTGCAGATGGCTCCTCCATTTATCCAATGTTTAGTTTTTCGTAAAAACTGATAAACTTGAGTGGATAGGAGGAGTAAGTGCTGGATCAGCGTGTGCTGTGAGCGAATCGTCGAATATCAGCGGACGATTATGTCTTCAGTGTTTGCGTTCTTTTTATGAGTCTTTAGCTTAGAGAAATAGTGAGCGGCCTGTCGTCTTAATCCTATACATGCGTGTTTTTGCACTTGCACTGGGAAGCCCTGAAGTTTGCAATTTCGGTCAAGATTGAAATATTCGCGCTGCCTTCCCAGACATCCAACTTTACCCATTCTTTGGACTCGCTCCTCTTTCGAGCTGGAAAGCGGGCTTATGAGGCCTTAGTCGCAGATTTTCCCTTGATTCATCGAGGTGCCCGGCCAATTAAAAGATGACATGGCTGCACTGATGTCCGCTGCATGGGAATTTGGATCTATTCCCAGAAAGGTGATGGGATCATTCCAAGGTACTGGTATTTTCCTGCTGTCAAGGGACAAGATGCTCTGTAAGATCGTCGGTGCAGCCCCGACGCTTGCCAACATGGCTCGTGTAGACATTGTTCCACAGCAGGTGAGCGCGCGTACCGAGCTGTGCCTTAAACGCATGGGCCTTGTACTAGAGAGCGCGATATTGATCTTCAAATATTAGATATGGTTGCTCCTAACAAAAGTCACACGAAGAAGAGAGCCACGTTCGTCGCGTGCGGGCGTCTGATGACGCATTCTGATATTCTTGAGGAAATTCAGCAACTTGCAGAAGCGAAGGCACTTAAGCAAAAAGAAACTTACGAGCGGAGGTCTGCTCGGGAGATAAAAAATCTCGAGAAAGCTGCTAAAACAGCAACAGCGTGTAGACCAAAGCCAAAGCGCAAGCGTCAGTCTAAACGAGTTGTGGAGCCGTCTCTTGGCTATAAAACACATAATTTAGACGCTCATTATACGCATCTCGCTGCAGATGACGCCTCCAGTGCTCTTTGCACTGCTCTGGACTTTGCTGTTCAATCGGATCAGAACTTTGTAGTAGAATATGCCTTTGTTTGATTGTTTCACTCTGTGTCCATTTTGGATTTTGGCCGACTAAGCTGCAAAAATGGACACTGCGGAAGACTACACAGTGCTGCAACCTCTCTACGTATTCCTACTCGGCCCACACCTTAAGAGCAGCTAGTTTTACCTTTTCATGCTGATGCCCCTTCCCCAGTTAATTCTCGTTCTAGGGCTGTCAGTAGGCCTCATTTTCAGCGTGGCCAAGAAATGTTTTATGTCCGAAAGGGATACTGTATACCACCTCATGTTCATGAAGGCGTTTCCGATAATTTCTGACTTTTCATAAAATCGGCAGCGAAAATTCTCTCCCTTTTGCTTGTGGAATATTAATATACTAAAGAATAAATATTACTTAATGAGTATCATTTGCTTGGCAAATATAAGTGTGGACGTATACTCGAGTATACGTCAGCACTATGTTATTAGTGGTTCTCACAGCTGGCAGGTTGCGGGCTCTACTACCCAATCATATTCACGGAACGTTGACAGAATGTTAAGGTAGAAAACAAGCTTTGCAGGGTGATCACCATAATGACTCTCAGGTTGCCGGTTAAGTGCAGATTTGCAGGTAAAAATTGAAGGAATCCTATTGGCTGGTGAAACATGCAAAACATTCGATATTGTCGGACTCGATTACACGTCAGTATCAATTAAAATTATTTAACGCAGTATACGTCTACATACATAATTGTCAAGTAAATGATACTTCGAAGTTCAATTTACTTCGAAAGTATTAATACTAAGTAGTTTTTAGTGTTAGTGTTGTCAAATGTTTGAATCATAAATAATGATGGGGCCAGTTCAAATTAAAGTTTCAAGATACCGGTATTGCCAATTGGTGCCACTGTGGCACCGTGAATTACGGCGTGATGACTCATATTTCATGTACCGGGGAAATTGGCAGCTTATTCATCTAATTACTTCATATGACGTTTCCTTGTTGACCACTCAGCCCATTTAGATTTAGTTGAGGATTACACCAGATCGTCAAATATGGTGTGGCTCATGGTCGCCCAAGCCAAAGCACGTCCCGGTGCGTCAGTTTTCAATTTGCCAAGAATCAATTTTAGAAACAAAAAAGCTCCAAACATCATCAATGAACTTCAAGATCTTTGCAAATATGAGAGCCTGGGCTCTAGCAGTGGTGGAATCATTTTTGGCTTAAACACTGGCTCTGTCAGCGTGTTGGCGCCGTAATTGCTCTCTCGCCAGAAGAAAAAAACACTTTTTTGTTTTAAAATCAACCAACGATTGGCGTACCATCGAGATCTGAGTCTAAGCCAATGAAAAGTGTCCAAATTCATATCATCCAATCCGATCTTCTCGCGCCAAAAACTCCTCTTCCTCCCTTTTAATGCATCTCTTGCACCCCCGCACTCCTCAACTTGCTCTCTGCGTCTTAGCCCGCACTATGACCATCAAACGCAGCCGTCCCGCCCCCGTCCTCCGCGTCAAGAAGATGACGGCTGAGGCCATCCTGCCCACGCGTGGCTCCAGTCTCGCTGCGGGTCTGGACCTCTCGGCCGCGTACGACGCCGTCATCCCAGCGGGCGGCAAGGGCCTCGTCAAGACGGACCTTATCATCGCAGTTCCTGACGGCTGCTACGCACGCGTGGCGCCTCGCTCGGGTCTTGCCTGGAAGAAGTTCATCGACACAGGCGCTGGTGTCATCGACGCAGACTACCGCGGCAACGTGGGCGTGATCTTGTTCAATCACTCTAGCGACGACTTCCCCGTCAAGCGCGGGGACCGTGTGGCTCAACTTATCCTCGAGAAGATCGAGTACCCGGAGGTCCAAGAGGTGGATGAAATCGAGGAGACTGCACGCGGTGCCGGTGGCTTCGGCAGCACCGGCGTGAACGTGCCAATCACGAAGAAGCAGCATGTGGCGAGCAACGGAGCCGCGGAGGACGAAGAGGAGGACGAGATTGATTCGACGCTCAAGGCCATTGAGCTGTTGTCGGAGAAGAAGGTGGTTGATGAAAAGTCGCGTACTGAGCTGAAGAAGAAGCTGTTCACGGCGTCTGAACGGCAGCTCAAGCTGATCAACAAGGCGCTGGCCAGCTACGTTGACGACGAGGACAGTGCCAAGGTACTGGAGTGGATCAATGCCTTCCTTGAGTCAAACTAAGACATCGTTCTAGAAAACACCTACATGACTTCGCTGTTGTGCGCGGTGTAACTTGATAGAATACATAGACTCACATAAAGATATCAAGATCCAGAAAAGAAACTGAATATCATCGTCCAACTACAGCGGGTGTAGGAAGTCAAGATACCCCTAGCGATTTGGTGCATTATTGGAGCTCCTGAAGTCATTTTTTCTGGCAAAAGTATGACCGTGAGAAGCGGAATTGTTCGGGAATTACGTCTATGCCATCTGATTGGCATTTTATTGAGCTTGTTTTTACCAATCAGCTTTAGAGATAAACCAGCTGCGCAAGAATTGAAGACACCTGCCAAGTTTATGGACTTTAGAATTAGATGTCGCACGAATGTTACTTCGACAGAAATAGGGATTTGTACCGGTAGCCGTGAAGAGCATCGGAAGCACACGATATGACGGCTATTACGGCTCCTAGCGAGGTACAACTGGTCTTAATAGCTGCAGCAATTATTTAACTGTTGACATGCGCGCACGGAGGGTTACATCAAAGGCCGGTTCGTCAGAAATCGGGTGTCAATTGTATGTGTCGTCAAATCCATTTCATTTGACTTGATGTTTGTAGTGGAGCATGGATCGTACCCGAATACGAACGAGTGCACACATATATGTTTGCATCCACCACGAGTTAAGATGAGCGCTTTGGTGACCTCATACAGTATCAAGCAAGGAACAACGTCATGTAGCAGTCGATCCTTGCAGGAGCTTCAAATTGATATACTTCACTTTTGACGGTGTCGGATGACCTACAAATCGCACAAGATGTCTTGGTTTTAGTAAGAGCGTTTGGGGGGTGTCTTCAATTTCTGCGCAGGTGTCTTCCATCTAACCTGAATGAGCGTCTCAAGAATTCAAAGAGCCTGTCCAACGCTTCCCAGGAGGATAGTGCTATCATTTATCTATTGAGCTGTCCAAGTATCACCCTAAACGGAGAAGAATTGACTTTCGGAGCTCCAATAATGCACCAAATCGCTAGGGGTGTCCTGACTTCCTACACCCGCTGTACGTCAATGAGCTCTCAGCAAACAGTTGGTCTATCTTAATCTAGCTTCACGAACAGCCTTCGTACAGCTCGAAAGTAACGATTACACATTGAATGTATCGAATATATTAAGGTTATCTGTTTGTGCGGATTATATCAATTTACAAAGCGGACGGCAGTTCAAAGCGCTGCACCTACGAAGCAGGCGCAGGAGTCAGTCACCGACCCCGACTGTCGGTGGTATCATGGATACAGGATATAGTAACCTTCGATGCTCATGCTGCTTTAATTTTGTCAATTTCAGAGCTTCTTCGGGCGAAGCACGACTTTTGAAAAACTGTTTTTCTTACTTTAAGTAGCTCTCAAAGCTGACAATGCTTAGATTGCTATGGTCATTATGATGGAGGCGTTTTTGATGCATTGCGCATCTACACCAATTTACTTCAGCGCATTTTGTTACAGCATCGTCACTGAGTGTGGCAGTTGTTACAGATAAATAAAGTGACAATGTTTAGACAACGAACTCATCAGTAGGGAAAAAAAATGAATCGTACCTGGTACGATTCATTTTTTTTCGATCAACTAGAGTACTGGCAACGCATTGAAGAGCTCAAAATGAAGAATTTGCTAGCAACAGAAGCATTATTTTAAAATCAACTCACTGGACTGTACAAGCACAATGAAAGAGATAAAGAAAGTCTATTCAGCCCTTTTAGCTATAAAACTTCTGAAAAGGCCCAACTCTTTGATACATTATGGTCTTTGGCAGAGTTTTCCTCGTCCTCGGAGGTGCAAGACCAGGTGCTGATACAACAACCATAGTATCTACATAAACAGCCCACGCTTAGGTACTGCCTGCATTAGCTGTCGAATACATCTGTCCCCCACATACATGTACATTAATTGTTTGTACTGATCCCGAACCTTATTATCGTGTACAACATGGTTTCGAATTTGCCGTAACGAACCAGGGCCTTGTGGAAGTGGTCCTTGACACAGTAGGCTACATGTACCGGTATTCGCTTCTTGGAAAACCCTCAAGAAGCGTGCATAATACAAAGACAGTCGAGGATTACGGTACCACACATCTATTATGGTAATCTACAGTCGAGGATTGTCAGCTCCGTTATGGCCATTGTGAAGTTAGAGATTTATCACTTTCAAATTTGACGAGAAGCACCCACCGGTTTATCAACCTCAAAATGAACTCTACGATTTGCTTTGCTGTCATCTTTGCCGCCGTTGCCACCTCATTCGCCCCAGCCAGTGCGCAGCAGGGGAGGGTCTGCGAACCAGCCTGTGGAGAGCTGAATGGTGAGAAGAACACCTGGATCGCCACGTGCTGCCAGCAAAACGGCCATACCAGCGAGAACGACTTCGACCAATGCTGTGCATCGAGTTGCAGCACCGAGAGTCCTTGCAAGTATGAGAACCTGGGCGGATTCCCCGCTTAATCGTTTCCTTTGACACGCTCGGGTAAGCCAGAATAACGGTCGAATACAAGATCTCGTTGGAGGTTAAATACCATTATCTACTTTAGTAAGTACTATGTTTCTTCGAGGTGAATTATCAGCACGCCCTACCAACCTACGAGACGTTCTATTAATAGTAGCCAGACATCCCCCACTTGGTTGGGGAGGTCTAATTTTAGGATGATAGGGCATTGTCTAGGACAAATTTCGACACCCAAATACTGTAGTACTTGTTTATAATTGTTTAGCTCTAGTTGGCCACTCTTCAGCAGTCGCAGCGGTGAACAGACAGCACGTATCGCTGGGCCGATAACGTCTCACTATTGCGTAATGGTAGCGCGTGCAACATCGATTTCATCCTATTGCCATCATTGGGTGCTTTTTAGAACCAACTGGTAAAGTAGAGATCCAGGTTGCCCCGAAGTAACATTATTTAAAATAATTGTGCTACCGGAATACGCTATTATCGATATTAAACGATCTCAGATAACTAAGAGAGCTCCTTCAATGCTCTTTATGCTGAACATTTTTAGCTATGATTTTCTTCTTCAAACAAGCACAACACACGAGTGAGGCGGTTTCCATCTCAAAATGTCGTTTACCTACATATTCGAGCAAGCGTAGAAGTTCAAGCGACCAATCTCCCACAGAGAGTCCATTACTAGCAATTAAAACCTTTACTGAACCATCAACAGCGCATGAATTTTCGGTTCAGGAATGGTCAGCATTTCAATACATTCTGAAGAATTCGTAAACATTGCTAAAGCGTACGTGACAGGTCAATACTGGAACAAAATGGCGCTCGATATGTAATAAAATGGGGCATTCAGCGCAGGCAATTACGACGCGTACTTGGCCGGAAACAGCAATTTTGATGTGGCATTACTTCCTCGTTTCGGAACCTTGGCATAAAAACCCCTCAACTTTGAGATTGTTCTTCAGTCGATCGCAGGGGCATCGACAGCAAATGGTGCGGAAAGTGTGGTTCCAGATAATGGATGCAGCAACTCGCAGCGCGTACGCGGATATCATGGCAGATTCCTTGCAAGCACCTGAAGATGCTGAGGATATTGGAGAATTTCGCAAGGCAGTCTGGGACCAAACCAAGGTCATTCTACCCTCATATGTGATTACAGCTAATTTGCGAATCTACGCCAACCGAGCAGCTTACGACGAAGAAAATGCCCAGCATTTGGATCTGAGGTCATCGTTGAACAGTCTTGTTACGCAAGACACACTCATCGTGGAAGTACTGACGCGCAGAGAAGTACGCGGTTTGGTCGGATCGTCGATTGCAGACGGAATAAACCCAACGAGTATTCATTTCAGCCGTGATCATATATTGATGAAAATGGTCAAACCCCTGCAGCTTCTGGCAAGACATCATTGCTAAATCTTTTTCAGTACAAGAATCCTATCGGTATGTTTTTTTAAGCGTGCGATAAGTCCATGGGAAATACTTCGTCTACATGGTTTGGACATTGTACACGAGCATTGTAATGATGAAAATGTCATTTTCATGTTTGACGACGCACAATGTCAAAACGGCGATGCGATATGTTGGGCTGCTCTCAGAAAGGACGTGCCTTTGATGGTTGCCCCTGGTGTGCGATTCATTATCTCGACAGCTCACCTGGTGCCGCCACAAGCGCAATCGAGCCCAGCAGTCTTCACACAATTCGAGACAATTAATTGAGAAGACTTGCTTTTATCTGATGAGCAGTCTCAATCTCTGCTTGGTTCGGAAGCGCCTCTTAGCTTGCCGATGAATAGGCAGAATTTCTTACAGCTGATGAAGACTATCATCGAGCATCACAATGGACTAGTTAATGCGTTGTGCAAATCTGTCGCTTTGGTATGCTGATCACTTTCGTGACCACGTACCGACCGAAGGCGAATGTCTACGAGCATTTTTATTCGAAGAAACTCTTGGATATCATGGATGGCTGTTTTGGTACCGTTGACCGAAGTCGCCTTTCAATTGACGCAAATAATGCTCTTTTGAATAGTGTCTTGGGAGAACGCATTCACTCATTCCGCCTAATGGACCAGTCTTTATAGGTATTATTTGCCAAGGCTGGTTTTGACTATTAATGCACAGAGATATTATGTCTTCTCTTCGATTTTGGCGTAACGCATTGCTATTTTCCACATCGCGACTACAGTGTCCCGTTCACTCTTCGTGAACTTGTGATGATATCAATTCAAAGAATGTCGGTAAGGTCCCTCGTGTCAGTCCAGATGATTTTCCGAAAGATACCACTTTCCAATATTTGTTCATCGACCGCATCCTCTCCCATTGATGTAGCAGGACACACTTGTTTAGTAGATTGACAAGTCCTACCGCACACAGTATCAATTGTTGATGCATGTTTCCAGGATTATAAAATAAATATGTTCAGGTCATTTATTGTAAACTCACTTGAGAAAATGAAGAGAGCATATTTACAAGCGAGAATTCATGGGAGGGAAAGCTTCGAGCAGGTCTTCCAGAGATAACCGCTCTGCTGGATGGGCAGCGAGCATGCCTCCCACTAACTGTGTGTACTTCTCGTCCAGTTTCTCTTCCTTCAACTCGTCGACAAGTTCCTCCACTGTTAAATATAACAATACTCAGAATTAGAACGTTTCAAATTAGCTCCAAAATTAGTTAAACATTCTGCTTACCTGGACGAGTGGCCACTCGAGGCTCCGGGTTTCCCGTCAGCATCGCCACAGCTAGAGCGCCAAGAGACCAGATATCTGCCTTGTCGTCGTAACTCACGACTTCTCCCAGGAAATACCGTCGAACCTCGGGCGCCATGAACGCCAGCGTACCAGCAGCGTGATGTGTCAGTAGATCGCTCTCCAAGTAGGTCGATACACCAAAGTCCGCGATCTTTGTAGTGCCCTCGCTCTGTAAAGAAGAAAAAAATAGATTAGCCTACAAAATCACAGTATAAAGCATGCGAAATCTCAAGACTGACCGTCAAGAGGACGTTGCCTGGCTTCAGGTCCCGATGGACGATCCCATGTCGATGGATTTCCTTCAGACCAAGACACAACTGGCGGAACATGTAGTCGAAGTCGTCTCCCCCCAGTCGTCCCTGTGCATAGCAATGCTCTCTTTAATACTACACCTCTTCATCACCACGAAACAACTCACCTTTTTCTCGAGCATTTCTTTCAAATCGCCACCGTCGCAGTATTCCATCTCAATGTAAGCAAAATGTCTGTGTCCGATCTCCTCAATAAAATACTGTTGGATCTGCACCACGTGGGGACTGCGGACTCTTGATAAGATGCTGATCTCGTTCGCCGCTTCCGGTAGTTTGTCGCTTTCCTTCAACACAGTCAACTGGCCCTTCCGGTTCTCCACTAGCATCACCTCAGCAAAGTTACCGACACCCAACGTGCGTACAAACGAGAATTTAAGCAGTTTCGACGGCGATTGAAGACCCTGTACACGTTTAACCCATCTCTCGGGTCCCTTTTGGATCGTAACCTCTGCTCTTACGACCTCCTTGGTTAAACCCGCCACTCCATCGACCACTAATTCATCAGCTTCATCCGTCAGCACTTCAGCGACCAATTTTTTTGCTTCTTCGACAATATTTCGCTTCCTTTGAGGTTTCTTGGACCTGGTAGGTACGAATCTCCCTGCGATAAAAGACAACGCCGCAAGAACGCCTCCCTGTTTCCAGGCACCTGATAACGACGTCGACGTCTTTTCTGTTGTTTCTTGTTGCGTCTCCAGCTCCGAGACTGTGCGTGCTGAAAAAGGTTCCATCCGTAAAATATAATTAGTGAAAACTACAGCTTCGACCGCGACCATGTCGTTGCAGCGTGCACACTCCAAGAAGCACGTCCGGTTGTGTTCTACGTGTTTTATCGTACGTGAAGCCACACATTTGGCACACACAGGATGGCCACAGCAAAGCTGGACGCGTGGCGACTGTCGTAGTCGGAAACAACGACTGCAGTCGTACAAGTTGGATACATTAGGAGCGATCTCGTACGTCACAGCTGCGGGCGACGGTGGCTGTAGTCTGGCTGAGTCCGGTACGTATCCTAATAGAGGTCTCGACGGTAGGCCGCGACTTAAGAACGGTACGTGGTCCAGTGGATGGCCGCCGATTTTAACAGCTGAGTACACGAGAACTTCGGGCTTGGGAGCCGCGTAGGACAGAGACGTACGGGCCTGGGATGATGGCGCACTTAGTACTGCTGGAGAACCTGTAAAAGCTGCTCCTAGAGCGCCCCATACAGCGGTCTTTAACGGCCCGTGGAGCTGGCCCTGCCAGTCTGAGAAGAACGGACGCTTGTGGTCCATTTTGTGACCGCCGATCTTCGTCTCTGCGTACCCATCGACCTGATCACTTTGCGGGTTATAAGTGTGTAGGTTTACGTAGCGGGCGGACGTGCGCAACTTGCCCGGACCGCTATCCAGCACCAGCGTAGTCGGAAGAGACGCGACTTTTGCGGGTGCCGCCTGCACCAGCTGCTGCTCCGTGTCCGCCAGCTCCAGTAGCAGCTCGTCTTTAACATCAACCTCGTCCGCTTCGCTGTCTTCGTCTCCCTCGCGCACAACAGGAGCGCCCTTATCGCGCTGCACAAGTCGCTGCATGGTCGATGGGTTTGTACAACCGTTCAGAGTTTTTTTGTTGCGTCAACAACAATATTTTACCGAGAATAGTTGTTATTTAGCTAAAAACTTCAATTATTGTAGCTTGACCAACCTACAAAGTGAAGGAGGTTTGTACTTCACATTTGTGAGGCTCTGTATGCCTGATTTGATTGGTTACTTCATTGTGGAATTATTGCGTTCCTAGAGAAATTTCTGCTAGCCCCTGTCGCTTCAAGATCCGAGGTCACGAACTACAAAAGTCAATTAAGCCAAAGCTGATTGGTTTTCGAGGTCAAAACTGATGAAGACAAGTAGCGAGCAAAAAAGTAATTCGCGACGCGCGATATGCTGGTTACTACAGCTCTACATTTATAACTGTCTGCGAATTAAAAACCGAATAGACTGCTTTGCGTCGGCGATCTTGTAGCACGCGTGACGTACAGCGCTCGAAGATGGCTGCATGCCCATCCCCCGCTTCTCGCAACATGCAAGAAAGGGAATCTTATTGGGTAATAATTTAAAAGACCGCCGAATCAGGCCGCCAGACTCTGGCCAAGAGTCAGGCGGTTGTGCAATCTGGCACGGCCG